ACTTGTGTCATATTTCAAAGACTCCGATTTTCACGATTAAAGACGCGATTAAGAATGCAATGTTGTTTGATCGCCCTTATTATTTCTGTCAATCAAACGGAAGGTCATGTATTGATTTAGAAAATCGATGAGTTGATCGAACGATCGCTACCGATAGGGACGTGTTAGCCAGTGATTAGCGTCACCAACGGCTGTAGCCGTCTCATCAAATTTGCATCAAGTCCTCTTGCACGTCCGTAGCAATTAAGCTCCCGCCACCCGCAACTTGATACTGACGTCATTGACCCGCAGGTCTCGTCCAGAGCTCACCCACCAAGATATAGGAAAAGTACTCGTGAGATGTAGGAAAAGTACTCATGAGATGTAGTGAAAGTACTCATGAGATGTAGTGAAAGTACTCACCAAGATGTAGTGAAAGTATTCACCAAGATGTAGGGAAAGTACTCATGAGATGTAGGGAAAGTACTCACCAAGATGTAGTGAAAGTATTCACCAAGATGTAGGGAAAGTACTCATGAGATGTAGTGAAAGTACTCACCAAGATGTAGGGAAAGTACTCACCAAGATGTAGGGAAAGTACTCACCAAGATGTAGGGAAAGTACTCACCAAGATGTAGGGAAAGTACTCATGAGATGTAGTGAAAGTACTCACCAAGATGTAGGGAAAGTACTCACCAAGATGTAGGAGAAGTACTCATGAGATGTAGGGAAAGTACTCACCAAGATGTAGGGAAAGTACTCACCAAGATGTAGGGAAAGTACTCATGAGATGTAGGGAATCGGCGTGGTCAAAAGGAAGAGATGACGACTGCTAACCTGAAAGTATCGAGTTCGAGTCACGGATTCGAGTCTGTAGGACGCCAGCGAGTGTACCCAACTCTGATGGGCAGCTGACTTCAGTTGGGGGAAGCAAAAGTGGCTGGGTATAGTCGTGAGCACACTTTTCCCGGCAGTCATTGAAACAGATGAACTCTATTTGAAATCTGTGCACCGTCTAGGTCTACCTAGACTTAGGACACAAAGCGTTCTCCCGAACTCTAAATGTAAACAGAATGCCAACCTTCACCATATTGCTCGCTAACCTTCACAATATTACTCGCTAACCTTCACCATATTGCTCTCTTACCTTTGCTCGCTAACCTTCACAATATAGCTCGCTAACCTTCACCATATTGCTCTCTTACCTTTGCTCGCTAACCTTCACCATATTGCTCTCTTACCTTTGCTCGCTAACCTTCACCATATTGCTCTCTTACCTTTGCTCGCTAACCTTCACAATATTGCTCTCTTACCTTTGCTCGCTAACCTTCACAATATAGCTCGCTAACCTTCACAATATAGCTCGCTAACCTTCACAATATAGCTCGCTAACCTTCACCATATTGCTCTCTTACCTTTGCTCGCTAACCTTCACCATATTGCTCTCTTACCTTTGCTCGCTAACCTTCACAATATAGCTCGCTAACCTTCACAATATTGCTCGCTAACCTTCACAATATTGCTCGCTAACCTTCACCATATTGCTCGCTAACCTTCACAATATAGCTCGCTAACCTTCACAATATTGCTCGCTAACCTTCACAATATAGCTCGCTAACCTTCACCATATTGCTCGCTAACCTTCACAATATAGCTCGCTAACCTTCACAATATAGCTCGCTAACCTTCACCATATTGCTCTCTTACCTTTGCTCGCTAACCTTCACAATATTACTCGCTAACCTTCACAATATAGCTCGCTAACCTTCACAATATAGCTCGCTAACCTTCACAATATTACTGGCTAACCTTCACAATATTGCTCGCTAACCTTCACAATATTGCTCAGTTAACTCCTTGGGTCCCCCTTTAGGATGGTTATGTTGAAATCGTTGTTTTTGGTGCTATATCACTGTCTGCAGGTCTTTATATCACTGTCTGCAGGTCTTTATATCACTGTCTGCAGGTCTTTATATCACTGTCTGCAGGTCTTTATATCACTGTCTGCAGGTTGTTAATCACTGTCTGCAGGTTTTTATATCACTGTCTGCGGGTCTTTATATCACTGTCTGCAATTTGTTATTATATCACTGTCTGCAGGCCTTTATATCACTGTCTGCAGGTTTTTATATTACTGTCTGCAGGTTGTTATATCACTGTCTGCAGGTTGTTATATCACTGTCTGCAGGTTATTATATCACTGTCTGCAGGTTGTTATATCACTGTCTGCAGGTTGTTATATCACTGTCTGCAAATTGTTTCGAATTGTTGTTATATAATTTGAAGATTGCTGTTGCTTCACAATTTCTTGACTTTCTTCCACTACATACATGGCAGAAATGGATATTATATAGCCGTGTAACGGCAGGGGGGGGGGGGCGGTAGTGTGAATGGAGACTATATGTGGATACTTTCGTGGTTTTTATTGTGTGTGTGTGTGTGTGTTATAAAATAGAAAGTAATAACCGCGCAAACTACACAAGTGGAAATGTACTTAGAGGTGGAACGTTCAAATTAATACAAACTAGGTATTTTTTATAGCTAGCTGTTCACTGATTGATATAGACCTAAACAGTAATTCAATTATACTAGAATTGTAAATAATAAACAGATATTCGATTACATTTTTAATACTCACTTTTAATAAAATGTTAAACAATGACAATTATTTGTTTGGATGTTACTAATGAATATTACGCTAGTTTAATCACTTTTAAAACTAAATTATTTGTTGCTTCCCATTTCTACTTAAAAATCCTAAATGGGAAACAACTAGAACATTTATATTATATTAAAAAAACTCTTGTAATATATTTTAACATTGAAATATAGTGGTAGGCTACTTGACACACAAGTACCCTGACACGGTATTTATTTTTACACGAGCCATCGAACGTTTATGTTTTGCTTGAAAATTCGAGAAATTTAAAATACGAAAAAAAACAACACAACAACAACAGAACAGTGGGTATCAAAGTTCGTGGGAAAAAAAAAACAAAAAAAAATAAAAACGGCAACACTGGGCTCACCTGTACTCGAAAATCATGACACCACTGAACACACATGAACACCACACACCACGACAGCACTGAGCTCACATGTACACCACACACCATGACACCACTGAACTCACATGTACACCATGACACCACTGAACTCACCTATGCACCACCCCATGACACCAATCAACACACATGTACACCATGACACCACTCAACTCACATGTACACCCCACACCATGACACCACTCAACTCACATGTACACCCCACACCATGACACCACTCAACTCACATGTACACCCCACACCATGACACCACTGAACTCACCTGTACACCCCACACCATGACACCACTCAACTCACATGTACACCCCACACCATGACACCACTGAACTCACCTGTACACCACACACCATGACACACTCACCTATACACCACACCACGACACCACTAACAGCCCTCCCCTCTCCCCCACAGATGTACTGGAGCAGAAGGACGCCGCAGCGCGTGAGTTCATCAAACAGCTCAACATGACCTACTCGGACCGACGATTCCACCCCGACATGGACATCTCTCTGGTCTACAAGATGATCCTCAGGTCCAGCATCAGCTGGATGGTCAGCCCCACCCCCCAGCCGCACCTCACCCCCGACCTCAGCGCCAACATCAGTTCCAACCTCAGCACCGACCAGACGCGACACCGACGTTCCAACGTCTTCGTCGGCGCTGACGTCAACTTGAACAGCAGTCAGAACATGACGTCACAGGACGTGGGTGGGGAGGGGTACATCACCCCAGGGGACGGGCGCAGTCTGGAGAAGGATATAGCCACAGCCTTCCATATGGCCAGCATCACCATCTTATCGATACTAGTGTTTGAGGTGAGTAGTCGCTCTAATTGAAGAATCGATACCTAAAATTCCAATGTTACCCATACTGGTATTTGATGTGAGTAGTCACTCTAATTGATGAATCGATTATTGACTTTAACAGTAGGCCTATATTGTTATCGATACTGGTGTTTGAGGTGAGAAGTCGTTCTGATTGATCCATCGATACTTGACTTAAACACTAAAATAAGATCGATACTGGTATTTGATGTGTGTTGAATCGATACTACAATCCTACAAATAAGATCGTATTGATACTATATTAGAAAGAGTTCTTCTAATTGTTCAGTCGATTTGGTATTTTAAGTAATAGTATCGATACAAATCTTTGATGTGAGTAATCAAGCTAAAATTAAAGGCATGTTTAGAATATCGTTTTAATTATTGAATCGATATTTGGGGATATGCAATATATATTCCATGACCAAATACTAACCTAACTATGACATCCACAACGACAAATAAATCATGCATGACTTAAAAACTTGAGTCTCTATATGACATTTAAAACACACAGAAACAATATTTTTCTTAACTACACTGGGTGCAAGACAGCATGAACAATGCAATTAATTCAGTGCCCATAATTAGATAATAATTAAATTTATAGCTTTATCTGCACCAATAACATTTAAAGGCAGGGAGATAAGTCTGTCCTCACAATCTAACCTGATCCAAATGAATTGTTTTATCTTAAGGCATATCTTTCTTTCTGTTGTATTGAAGCAACCGTCTCAAAGGCAGATACTCAAATAAAACAAACTATGAATATGTTGTAAAGTAGATAGCATACTTATGTGTATAATAAATAAAAACTGGGAAAAACATGAGAAAGTATTTAAAATACTCCAGCTAAGCTGTAGTTTGTTATTTTTAGTTTGACCAGCACACGGTTAGTTCACACACACACACACCCCACCCCCAGATATCATCGGGAGAAAAACTTTCGTGAGGGGTGTAAAATTCTACGAGGTTTGTCTTAAGTTTAACAAATTCTACGAGGTTTGTCGTAAGTTTAACCAATTCTACGAGGTTGTCTTAAGTTTAACAAATTCTACGAGGTTGTCTTAAGTTTAACAAATTCTACGAGGTTTGACTCAAGTTTAACACACGGTGTCAATGTGGTGAATTAAACCCTAACAGACAATTTACAGCATTGAGTACTGGTGTACACCGAGTACTCATGTACACAATGTCATTTGTACACAGAATTACAGACTGCTACATACAACTCACACATTACCTACAACTTTACACACGTTACAACTCACACATCACCTACAACTTTACACACGTTACAACTCACACATTACCTGCAACTTTACACATGTTTTAACTCACACCACATCATTACCTGCAACTTTACGTCGTTAGGAAACCCCACCAAGAGCCCACCTGTAGCATTGCATTACTCACCTGTGTTGTGATTTGTGCACTAAGTGACCTGTGCAAGGTGTGTGGTGTTTCACCTGTACGGAGAGGTGTGATGCCAGCATTAAATGTTGTGATTTGTGCACTAAGTGACCTGTGCAAGGTGTGTGGTGTTTTACCTGTACGGAGAGGTGTGATGCCAGCATTAAATGTTGTGATTTGTGCACTAAGTGACCTGTGCAAGGTGTGTGGTGTTTTACCTGTACTGAGAGGTGTGATGCCAGCATTAAACGTAGAAACATTTGATCTCCGCTGATTAACTCAGGAGCTAAACTTGCAGCTCCTAGGTGATTGGAGTGGGGGTGTGTGTGGGAGGGGGGTGGGGGGTGGGGGGTAATGCTAGGGGTCAATAGCCTGCAGCCATGACCAACTTATTGTCCTGTGTTTGATGGTGGGGTGGGTTGTCTCGGTGAATAGGTAGGGTGGGGTCTTGTGTGTGTGTGGGGTCTTGTGCTTGTGGGTAAGTAGGGTGTTGTCTTGTGCGGGTCGGTAGGTAGGGTGGGGTGTTGTGTTGGTGGGGAGGTAGGGTGTTGTAGTTAAGAAAGAAACCAGGGTATTTTAGACATCGTGATTTGTTTGTTTGGCAGACTCTAAAAACGATCGTTTTCATTGGCTGCCTTAATCTATCAACTACAACACGATCACATAACCACACGACCACATAATTATACGACAGCACGAATACTATTTATGATTGAAACAATTTATTTACATCATGGATTCCTTTAAACATCATCTATTATATTTTTTAATTAACCAACTATCATTATTTGAGCCATTTCCCTCTTGGCTTTGGTGCACGTATAATTTCTCTGTTCCTATTCGTGAATCGTACAGGTATAAAATCTCTGTTCCTATTCGTGAATCGTACAGGTATAATTTCTCTGTTCCTATTCGTGAATCGTACAGGTATAATTTCTCTGTTCCTATTCGTGAATCGTACAGGTATAATTTCTCTGTTCCTATTCGTGAATCGTACAGGTATAATTTATCTGTTCCTATTCGTGAATCGTACAGGTATAATTTCTCTGTTCCTATTGGTGAATCGTACAGGTATAATTTCTTTGTTCCTATTGGTGACTCGTACACGTATAATTTCTCTTTGACGTTGTTGAATCATATAATTTCTCTGTTCCTATTGGCAACACCCCTGCGTGTAAAGTCTCCCGAATCATGCTGGATCCGCCTCACATCCTCTGTACAATCCCACTATCCCACTATCCCACAATCCCACTGGGTTAGTTGAATGTGCTGTAATTATTCCCTGCGAACTCTTCAAATCTTATGTCCTGCAGAAACGGTTGGTTGTTTTGTTAATTGGGAAATTTTTAAATTTTTAAAATAAATTTGTCTATAAGGGTTATTTTATTAAAACTATTGAAATACAAATGACATGTGTCCTTGTGTCTAAAAAATAAATCGCCCCAATTAGAGCGCACTGTTCTCTCTTTATTTTTCGTCCTTCAGGTTTTTGGTTGAAATCCTTTCATGTCTGGAAAAATTCACATTTCTTCTGTTTGCAATAATTTTGTTCTAAGTATTTGCTTGTCGTTTTGTGGTGTTGTATTTGTGTTTGGTTGTTGATGTTGTTTTTGTTACATCGTGATATTGGTGTACATTATTCGTTGTGTACCGATGGTTTAGAACAGGGGTCTCCAAACTACGGCCCGCGGGCCGGTTGCGGCCCTCGAAGTCCTCTCATCCGGCCCGCGGTGATCTTTTGGTCCAAGGAAAAATCGTTTGTTGGTGATGGCTGAGGAACTTTGCCCAGAAAAATCAAAGACATGCCTAGAAGAAACTGGCCCCCCGAACTGAAATTTGATAGTTAATGCGGCCCTCGGACTGAAAAGTTTGGAGACCCCTGGTTTAGAATGTTCTTTAAATTTAGGATAAAAGCTGTTTCGGTGTGGCTCATAGCAGAAGATAGAAGATAGTTGTCGTAACGTGTATATATATATATATATATATATATATATATATATATATATATATATATATATATATATATATATATATATATATATATATATATATATATATATATATATATATATATATATATATATATATATATATATATATATATATATATATATATATATATATATATATATATATATATATATATATATATATATATATATATATATATATATGCCTATATATTAAGAGGGTTGCAGAAAAATATTCTTTTAGCATTCTTTCTATCGATTAAACCAACTAACCTGATTTCGCCCTTGACCTTGAGCCTTTGACCTTGGTCGACAACAGTAACAAAATCCCGCAACAAGAAATATCGTCAGACAACAGGCGGAGAACCTAAAGAACAGACTGGTTAGAACCTAAAGAACAGACTGGTTAGAACCTAAAGAACAGACTGGTTAGAACCTAAAGAAAAGACTGGTTAGAACCTAAAGAATAGACTGGTTAGAACCTAAAGAATAGACTGGTTAGAACCTAAAGAACAGACTGGTTAGAACCTAAAGAACAGACTGGTTAGAACCTAAAGAACAGACTGGTTAGAACCTAAAGAACAGACTGGTTAGAACCTAAAGAACAGACTGGTTAGAACCTAAAGAACAGACTGGTTAGAACCTAAAGAACAGACTGGTTAGAACCTAAAGAACAGACTGGTTAGAACCTAAAGAACAGACTGGTTAGAACCTAAAGAACAGACTGGTTAGAACCTAAAGAACAGACTGGTTAGAACCTAAAGAACAGACTGGTTAGAACCTAAAGAACAGACTGGTTAGAACCTAAAGAACAGACTGGTTAGAACCTAATGAACAGACTGGTTAGAACCTAAAGAACAGACTGGTTAGAACCAGTTAGAACCAGACTTGTTAGTTCAGCTAAACTTTCCGAGGAACCTAAAGACCAGACTTGTTAGTTCAGCTAAACTTGACTCTTGGGGTTAGACCAAGTGTAAACCCTATCAATAATTAGTAGCCTACCACAGCAACCTACCACCCCTGTGATGGGAGAGTCCATGGCTGATCCATGCTATCAAAACTATCAACGCTCGGGAGAAAAAAATTGATAATAAAATTTTTTTAAACATTAACAGCAGGGTTTCGAGGGTTGTAAACAAAATGTTGCTTAATTAATGAGTAGAATTAATTAATTAGCCAGTTTACCCGATGATCAGGACGAGACCAACTTTGAAGTGGGCGCCGCCCCCAGCTGGTAACGCCCCTGGTTTCCTACAGCAGTGGGTGCTGCTCAGCTTGAACCCCTGGGGAGGTAGGGGAGGGAATGGGGGTGGGAGTGTGAGTAAAAAGTTTATCATGTGCTTATTTGCGGCTTGACGTAGCTTTTAATCGAAGCGAGTTGTTTGTTGACTTAAAAAACTACAAAAATTTGATCGTTTTACCAATGTGTTCAATCTGTTTGTCTACCTGTATTACACGAAATATGATCTCATTTCTGTCCCAAATGTGTTTGCTATCATAGCAATTTGAATTTTATCGGCGTGGCTGAGTTCTTTTAAAAACTGTAACTAACAGTCATAAGTGGTTTTTGCTGTAAAGAAATTTGAGACGTTCCCCGAAAAACGTGTGCATTAATTAAAGAAAAAATTGAAAACACAACACTGAGACTGAAGTGATTGTTTGATCACGTGAACACAAGCAACAGGTCAGTGTAGGTCAACTTAACCATGTCATGCCTTACGTAATGTCCTGTGGCGCCTTCTCCTTGGATTTGTAATATGTCAGGACCGGATGTGATGCAGTTGAGTAGGACACGGCTGTACCTAGAACAAGAAGTGACGTCACAAATGACGTAGACTCGTTTAATAATTTCATACACCAGACACAAGAGGAGGGGGGGGGGGGGATGAGAAGGGGAGGGAGCTAAGAAGTATTGACGCCTCTAGTCTCATGGACTTGGCTTATAAATCAGTCTGTTATTACAATACGTGTAATGTTAGCTTGGTCACCTACAAATGTCAGTTATATTGTCGTAATTACTGCTGAATGACTTCAAATTATTGATGTTTAACTTTCGAGAAAAGAGATTTGGGCAAGAGTCAGGGGATCAATGGACATGTGGGTGGACAAAAGAGAATAGTGACGCCACGTACCGAGTCAGCCCAATCGTGTCGGTAGAGTTATACTCTACTGCAAGTAGGGATGTAGTGGCGTCATACAGGTACATGGCCGTTTCCTGCGTCCCCGCGGTGAAATATTGCATGGCGTTGTTCATCTCACACACCTGAAATATTGCATTGTTCATCTCACACACCTGTTAAAGAGGGACACACTTGGAACTGATTGCGTGTTTTATATGGCATGAAAAGACTTTTGAATTATTTTATTTCTAATTTCGATTATCGTTATAACGAACCTATCCCATGGTTATTTTAAACCTTGGATTATTCAAACTCTTACTTGTACAGACAAAAGAAGAATTTACACAAACTGGTTAAGTTGCTGAGGTAGGGCTAATCTTAACCCTAGCCCTCCATACGGTAGGGGGCAACGTTAAGCTCAACGTGTGCTGGATACAGCACGTGCCAGCTGATTCTACTCACCGCCACATTAGAGCACCTGAGAGCTGATTCTACTCACCGCCACATTAGAGCACGTGCCAGCTGATTCTATTCACCGCCACACTAGAGCACGTGAGAGCTGATTCTACTCACCGCCACATTAGAGCACGTGCCAGCTGATTCTACTCACCGTCACATTAGAGCACGTGCCAGCTGATTCTACTCACCGCCACATTAGAGCACGAGCCAGCTGATTCTACTTGTAACGTTAACCTATCTATCAGCTAAATAGAAGGAGAACGTCCCCGGATTCTTTTTTCGGGGTCATATGCAAATGCCTTACGGCCTAAGTGGATGAACACTTAACACAACGTCCCACTAGGGCTCGAAATTAATGTCTAGGGAAGCTAGTGGTACTATTGTAATTAACACTCATCCAATCTACATACGACCATTTAATCAGCGAACTCAGTTGTGGCAAAACACAAAGATGAACTAGATAAAATATTTAATGTATAAAATATCAAAAACCCAACTTACACAATGTAGGAAAAAAACACTATCACAGATTTCTACACTGTCTAAAGAACAGCTACAGGCCACACAACACTGCTGTAGCTTCTAGACTTACTTAGCGACAAGTAATATTAAACTAGAAGATTAAATCAACTGAAGAAAGCAAGGCACACACAGGTCTTAAGTACTCTCACGTTCAAATGGTCAGAGTCTATAGCCGGACAATATGGACGGCTGCCTGACTAAGGTAAAACGGCCTCGTAGACTTTTAGGTCAAGAAAAACTGCCTCGTGTTGCGAGTTTGCGGGGCAATTAAAGACTTCTGTGACAGGGGAGGTTATCCTCAACTCATGTCGCCATTGGTTGGGATAATCATCTGATCAGAATCATTCAATCAGATTTTAATGGAAATTTTCTATGTCTCAAACACCTTAATAGTCAATGGAAAAACCCCAGGTGTTACACAATCATTCCATATAAGGAAATATACAATGTCAAAATAAAAATGACTCGACCTAAGTAGGTCACATCCCCTCCCTTTTTGGAAGTGACAGATAGGTTCCACAAAAACATACATAAGGAACCAATCTGGCAATGAAATAACAAAAATGTTTTACAAATGTAGGCAATCAAAATCATAATACCAGATGAAAATATCCCTGAACATAAAAGGGAAGTAACTCCAACTTTTACAATTGGTGAAAGGGGAGTAACCCTTCAAAAAGTAATTATACATCAAAATCCCTCAAAAAAGGGTATTACAATATTTCCATGTGGATATTAAAAGTGGTAAACCTGCCAGGGTAAGACCTTTATTTCAATGACTAGCTACAATATCAATGGAGCCATATGAGACATATTATAAAAAAAAGTTTACATATAATCAAAAACCACCTTTAATTAAGGTTCACCTGAAAATAAACAAAATATTCAACAGGATTGGAATTTTGAAAAAAATTCAAATTCACACCACTCATTTTCATATGAGTGACACTCAAACAAAACCTGTTTATGGTCCTAATGAACCACAAAGCATGTCACATGATCAATGTGTACAACAAGATTTTACATCCTTGACAAACAATCAGCCACAACATTATCACTACCCTTAATGTGTGAAATTTCCAGATTAAAATTTTGGAAATATAAGCACCATCTCAATATTCTTTGATTTGTCTGTCCTAACTTAGAGGTAAATTTCAGGGGATCATGGTCAGAAAACACTCTGACTGGATTGGTTGAAGAAGAGACATAGACTTCAAAATGTTGTAATGATAAAACCAAAGCTAAAGCTTCTTTTTCAATAGTAGAGTAATTCTTTTGGTTCTCATTTAACTTCCTGGAAAAAAAGGCAATGGGATGGTCAATTCCCATGTTGTCTTCTTGAAATAGGACTGAGCCAATGGCTAAGTTGCTAGCATCAATGGCAAGTTTAAAGGGCATGCTAAAATTTGGTGCAGCCATAACAGGAGCATTAGATAGAAATGACTTAATGGTTAAAAAAGCTTCTTGACATTTATCTGACCATTCAAATTCAACACCCTTTTTCAATAATGCAGTAAGAGGTTCAGCAATAGCTGAAAAGTTTTGACAGAACCGCCTATAGTAACCAGCCATCCCAAGGAACTTTTTGATCTCTTTACAATTTTTGGGAGGTGGTAACCTTACAATAGCATCTACTTTAGCTTCAATGGGCCGAACTTGGTTCGTTCCCACTTGGTAACCCAAATAGGTAATTGAAGCTTTACAGAAATCACTTTTATGTAAGTTTACAGTAAAATTAACTTCAGACAATTTTCTAAAAAGGTTAGTCAATTGAACAATATGTTCTTCAAAAGTATTAGAAAATACAACTATATCATCTATGTAGGCCTCACATTGGTCTATGTCAGCAATGACAGAGTTAATGACTCTCTGGAAAGTTTGACCAGCATTTCGCATACCAAAGGGCATACGTTTGTATCTATAAAAACCATTAGGGGTTACAAAAGCAGATATTTCTTTTGCACGGTCAGATAAGGGGATTTGCCAGTATCCTAAAGTAAATCAATTTTGGAAATTATCTTAGCCTGACCAACTTTATCAATAACGTCCTCTATCCGAGGTAAGGGATAGGAATCAGCTTTGGTGAGCGCATTCACCTTCCTAAAGTCGGTCACAAACCTGAAAGATCCACCGTCTTTCGGGACTAGGAGACATGGGGAACTCCAGTTGCTGAAACTGGGCTCAATGATATCATTCTTGAGCATATAGTCAATTTCATCTTTTATCAAAGCAGCTTTTTCCGGGTTAACTCTATAGGGGTGTTGTTTAATGGGTTTTGCGTCACCAACGTCTACATCATGAGGTGGAACCTTCGCTTCTTTGGGGACATCCCCAAAAATAGAGGGAAATGTCTCAAATAACTGAGACAATCTATGGCTTTCCTCTGTGGACAAATGCATAAGGTGGACATTCAAATTATCTAAAAAGGAAGAATTTACCAATTTTGGGAGTTTCAATTTATCATGTATCACATCATCAGAAACATTTGAACATACAGGTAAAGTAGTTTTAGCTGTGGATTGAAAATTGTTACAATTATCATAATACTTTTTCAGTGAGTTGACATGATACACTGTCTGTTTCTTTCTTCTGTCGGGCGTATTGACAACATAGTTCAAATCACTTAATTTTGAATGCACAGTAAAGGGTCCACAATATCTCAAGGATAACGCATTGTTCAGATTAGGTACTAGCACAAGAACTTTGTCGCCTGGATTGAATGTTCGTTTACAAGAACTCTTATCATACAGTTCTTTCATTCTCACTTGGGCCTTACTTAAGTTCTTGTGAGCCATTTCGCACACGGCTTTCAGTCGAACGTGAAAATCGTCGAAGTTTTCCACTGGATGATCACTGGTACCTGTCCAACGTTCGTGGATCAGCTTCAGGGGACCACGGACAGAATGTCCAAACACAAGTTGAAAAGGCGAGTAGCCTAAAGAGTCCTGGACACAGTCCCTCGCGGCGAAAATAATCCAAGGAACAGACTCATCCCATTGGGTGTTACTATTAGCGAATGTCCTTAGCATGGTTTTGAGGGTTTGGTGGAACCTCTCAAGTACGCCTTGAGACTGAGGGTGGTAGGCTGAGCTGGTGATGTGGGTAACGCCTAGCTTGGCTAGCGCTTCCTGAAAATGGTGACTGGTGAAGTTGCTGCCTTGATCTGTTTGCACGATTCTAGGTAATCCAAAGGTAGTGAAGAACCGGGTCATGGCTCTGACTACAGTCTTTGCCTTAATGTTCCGTAAGGGAATCGCCTCGGGAAAACGGGTACTTGAACACATAAAGGTAAGTAGGTACTCGTTGCCCGCCTTGGTTTTAGGCAAGGGACCTACACAGTCCATGACGATTTTAGAAAAAGGTTCTTCTAATACAGGAATCGGACTCAAAGGGGCCTTAGGAATTGTCTGGTTTGGCTTTCCGGCCAACTGACAGTTCGTGCAACTTCTACAGTAACGCGACACATCTTTTCTCATTTTGGGCCAAAAGAACAGTTCTTTGATCTTCGCCGTCGTTTTAGTGACACCTGGGTGCGCTGACATTGGATGGTCATGTGCCAGCTTAAGTATTTCATGCCGATAAGGTGGAGGGATCCACAGCTGGTTTTTACCCAACCATGGTTCGGCTGGTGAGGCAATCACTGGTATAGCGCGACGAAAGAAGAGGCCGTTCTCGGAGAAATATTCTCCATCGTCAGATGATAGAGATTTTTCGACCGTTGCTTTGAGTTCCGCGTCGACTTGTTGAGCTTTAATGATGTCGTCCTGAGATATACTCAGGGGTAAGCCCAAGCTTGTGTTTTCTGGAAGCATAGACTCCAGTTTGGGAGTCGAATTCCTTGACGATGATGGCGGATGTGGTTCAGACGTTGTGTCAGCCAATTGTTTGGTCTGGCTTCTTGTCACCGCACATGCAGGATACAGTTCATAATCATTATCTGGAACTGTTGACAAAGGGTCTGAAACCGTACAGGGGTATACTTTGCTTCCCGCAAGGTCATTCCCTAGAAGTAGGTGTACTCCTGGGACAGGAATACTATCTATCACACCTAAAATGACCTCACCTTCGACGAGATGATGTTTCAGGGCGAACTTGTGTAGAGGGACGACAGTAGATTTTGTCCCCACTCCCTGGATAATGGAAGTCCTTCCGGTGTTCGTCTCTGGTGAAATGTCCATTGAACTTTTCAAAAGGAGTGATTGTGACGCTCCTGTGTCTCTTAGAACGGTGATATTCTTCTGAGACAACGGATCACCTGGTTTGCTAATGATGGCTTCGGCAATAAAAGATGAAAAGTCAACTTTTCTCGATCCCTCGAGATCGGTAGACTCGGAAGAAACTGGATGGTGGCGAGAACAGTCAAAATGTGACTGCACATAATGTGTGGAGACTTGACTACCTTCTTGCGGACACTTAGGATTAGAGTCCTTTTGAATTCTAGAGTTCATAGTTGAACTGGCTGCTTGAGGGGATAGAGCATAGTGCGCGGAAGTACGCACCACCTCTCTGTTATATTGACGACGTTTGTAACAGTCCTTGACAAGATGCCCAGACCTTTTGCAGAACTGGCATACTGCTCGACGATTGAGAGTTGATCTTGGTTTCTCTCTGGACTGTGATGCCTTCAAATGTTGGCCAACAGAATGATTGCTGCCAAAAAGGGGAAGCACTGGGTTGAGGCGGTTTCCTGACACTGGTGGTTTCTTATGCACCAACATATATGTGTCAGCCGACTCAGCAGCCTTCTGGATGTCAGTTATCTTGTTATCCAGTATGTGTAGTCGTATCTCTTCAGGCAGGGACGATAGGAATTCTTCCCTTAGGATAAGTGACCTGAGTTTCTCAAACTCAGAAACTTCTTCAGAGTGTAGCCACCTTGAAAATATTTTCTCCTTTTCAAAGAGAAATTCCACATATGATTGTGTGGGTAACTTGCGGAGTGTTCGGAATTTTGTCCGATAGGCCTCGGGCGTCAGTGCGTAGGCCTTTAAAATGGCAGTCTTGACCAAACTATAGTTATTTTGAACGTCGTGAGAGAGTGCCTGGTATGTTTTTGCAGCTTTCCCAGTAAGGACAGAGCTCAATAAAGCAGTAATGGAAGTCTCGGGCCATTCACATGTCTTCGCTAAACTCTCAAATGAGTTAAAGAAAACGACCAAATCTGTTTCATCAAATTTAGGAACTAATTTCCCAAATTTGGCAATCACTTGCCCTACCGACAACTTTTTTGGATCTACCGGAGAAGTGACATCACTAACTTGACCAAACTCTAATTCCAACCTCCTCTTATCTAAAGCAATTTTAGCCTCTAACTCCTGTTTCTCTAGAGCAACTTTCTCCTTCTCTAGAGCACTTTTAGTTTCAAACTCCTTTTCTTTTAATAGAAGCTCCCTCTCTTCTATAGATTTCTCCTCGCGGAGCAACACACTAGCTAACAAACTTTCGTCAAATACTCCTTCATTAATGAAATGAACAACAATTTTATCTCTCAACACCTCTGACTTCTGCGTAACAGAATAATCCAATTTCAATTCCTTAACAACACTAACCAAAACTTTTCTACTCAACTTTTCTACATCTTCAACAGTAGGATTAGCCAAAAAAGACTCCATAACACTACTTGAAAATCACAACAAGCCTAGATCCTTTAAATTAATACACAGCGTTGGGCCGTGTACTTGACCTCTAAATGTAGGACGTGACACGTCTGCTTATTTGACCTAGATACTCTAGCCTGAGCGCGCGTTGTAAGAACACTGCGCTACTGGATATAAAAACAACTAAATCCAACTAACCTTAATATTCAACTGATATAACCAACAACTGGAACGACAGATTAAATCTCGGCGAGCTCCCACTTTGTAACGTTAACCTATCTATCAGCTAAATAGAAGGAGAACGTCCCCGGATTCTTTTTTCGGGGTCATATGCAAATGCCTTACGGCCTAAGTGGATGAACACTTAACACAACGTCCCACTAGGGCTCGAAATTAATGTCTAGGGAAGCTAGTGGTACTATTGTAATTAACACTCATCCAATCTACATACGACCATTTAATCAGCGAACTCAGTTGTGGCAAAACACAAAGATGAACTAGATAAAATATTTAATGTATAAAATATCAAAAACCCAACTTACACAATGTAGGAAAAAAACACTATCACAGATTTCTACACTGTCTAAAGAACAGCTACAGGCCACACAACACTGCTGTAGCTTCTAGACTTACTTAGCGACAAGTAATATTAAACTAGAAGATTAAATCAACTGAAGAAAGCAAGGCACACACAGGTCTTAAGTACTCTCACGTTCAAATGGTCAGAGTCTATAGCCGGACAATATGGACGGCTGCCTGACTAAGGTAAAACGGCCTCGTAGACTTTTAGGTCAAGAAAAACTGCCTCGTGTTGCGAGTTTGCGGGGCAATTAAAGACTTCTGTGACAGGGGAGGTTATCCTCAACTCATGTCGCCATTGGTTGGGATAATCATCTGATCAGAATCATTCAATCAGATTTTAATGGAAATTTTCTATGTCTCAAACACCTTAATAGTCAATGGAAAAACCCCAGGTGTTACACAATCATTCCATATAAGGAAATATACAATGTCAAAATAAAAATGACTCGACCTAAGTAGGTCACATACTCACCGCCACATTAGAGCACGTGCAAGCTGATTCTACTCACCGCCACATTAGAGCAGCTGATTCTACTCACCGCCACATTAGAACACGTGCCAGCTGATTCTACTCACCGCCACGATTCTACTCACCGCCACATTAGAGCAGCTGATTCTACTCACCGCCACATTAGAACACGTGCCCTCGCTGAAGCTCAAGCAGGGGTTGTAGGAGAAGCGGTTGTTGTAGAACTGGTCGTACTGGTCCCGCCATCTGAGGACATGAACAGGACAGTCAGGACCTGCTGACCTGCTGACCTGCTGACCTAGGTCAGAGGTCAAAGGTCGTTAAGTTTATCCAACAGGACATTCAGGACCTGCTGGTATAGGTCAAAGGTCGTTAAAGTATAGTGAAGTTAGTCCTGAAACATTTAACACACTTTTCCTAGTAAATTCCATAGATGACTTATCAGATCAGTCCTGTTATAAATACTCTACGCCTAGACCAACTACAAGCTAGTGAGTACACTAAAGGTTAACGTTACGCCTAGACCAACTACAAGCTAGTGAGTACAATAAAGGTTAACGTTACGCCTAGACCAACTACAAGCTAGTGAGTACAATAAAGGTTAACGTTACGCCTAGACCAACTACAAGCTAGTGAGTACAATAAAGGTTAACGTTACGCCTAGACCAACTACAAGCTAGTGAGTACAATAAAGGTTAACGTTACGCCTAGACCAACTACAAGCTAGTGAGTACAATAAAGGTTAACGTTACGCCTAGACCAACTACAAGCTAGTGAGTACAATAAAGGTTAACGTTACGCCTAGACCAACTACAAGCTAGTGAGTACACTAAAGGTTAAAGTAAGTGTTAAAAGTAACTTGACACTTAACACTACTGTTTACTTGGGACCCGAGACTCCAGCCAGAGGCGTCAGATCAATATGGGAGTCACTAAATGTACATCTGCAGGAGTCCACCTTTCTGCACGGTTCCTGTAGTGACGCCACCTGAACTGACTCCAAGAATAAAAAACTCAACATAAAAAGTTTCATCTTGTTATGTTATACATGTGCCATCGGCAACACTATATCAATTACACAAGGTACACCAGCAACATCAGTTACTCAAGATACACCAACAACACACTATCATTGATACATGTGTGTACGTTTGATATTATCATCGTTACACGTGTGTATCATATGTGTATCAAAGTTTGAAGAAAACGTGGGCCCGTGTCTGTCTGATAAAATGTTGCATTGTATCTGTCTTACTGCAGATAACAGGCAATCACGTGATAGACTGGCGCAGATAACCGAGGCTTATCTGGCCAGAGATACAGAGATGACACAGACACGTGCTGACGTTGACGTGTAGAACTTTCTGGAGCGGCGGTCATCAGGTGGATTCTGAGAAATCGTCCCGGCTCATAGGTTCGGGTTATCTTCCCCCGTTTTTGTGGGCCAATCGATGCTGAAGATAGCAATCGTAATATGAGGGTTGCGGCTGTATCTTGCAGATAACAGTCTTATGATGTTGGTTGCATGTGATTGCTGCGAACAGTCGTATGCTGCTTGTTGCAGCTGTATGCTCCAGGTTGCAGCAAATCGTAAAGAAGCTAAAAAAAAAAATAAGCCATTCACGCTGCACCACCATAAACCATACAAAACGGTCAAATGTCGAGAGTCATTTCATGCATGAAAAAAAAAGAAAAAAAACACGTCCTGTGACGTCAACCACACACGTTCTATGACGTCAAGTACAGACGTCATCTGACGTCAACCACAGACGTCATTGAAGTCAACCACAGACGTCATTGAAGTCAACCACAGACGTCATTGAAGTCAACCACAGACGTCATTGAAGTCAACCACAGACGTCATTGAAGTCAACCACATATATCATGTGGCATCATCCACATACGTCATGTGACGTAAACCACAGACGTCCTGTGACGTCAACCACAGACGTACTACTTACAACAGTCACACGTCCCTACACCAAGTGATCTCTGTGTGTGACGTGACATCTCGTGCACATACAGCTAGCAGACGTTATGACGTAACATTTCGTACACATTCAACTAGCAGACGATACCTTACCCTGATGGTTGAGCACGTTGGTACCGAGATCACATCTAGATCCCAGTTTCCTCTGTCGTGAGGTCCCAGTTCCCTCTGAGGTCCCAGTTCCCTCTGTAGTAAGGTCCCAGTTCCCTCTGAGGTCCCAGTTCCCTCTGTAGTGAGGTCCCAGTTCCCTCTGAAGTCTCAGTTCCCTCTGTCGTGAAGTCCCAGTTCCCTCTGTAGTGAGGTCCCAGTTCCCTCTGTTGAGGTCCGAGTTCCCTCTGTAGTGAGGTCCCAGTTCCCTCTTTAGTGAGGTCAAAGTTCCCTCTGTCGTGAGGTCCCAGTTCCCTCTGTAGTGAGGTCCCAGTTCCCTCTGTAGTGAGGTCCCATTTCCCTCTGTCGTGAGGTCCCAGTTCCCTGTAGTGAGGTCCCAGTTCCCACTGTAGTAAGGTCCCAGTTCCCTCTGAGGTCCCAGTTCCCTCTGTAGTGAGGTCCCAGTTCCCTCTGAAGTCTCAGTTCCCTCTGTCGTGAAGTCCCAGTTCCCTCTGTAGTGAGGTCCCAGTTCCCTCTGTTGAGGTCCGAGTTCCCTCTGTAGTGAGGTCCCAGTTCCCTCTTTAGTGAGGTCAAAGTTCCCTCTGTCGTGAGGTCCCAGTTCCCTCTGTAGTGAGGTCCCAGTTCCCTCTGTAGTGAGGTCCCATTTCCCTCTGTCGTGAGGTCCCAGTTCCCTGTAGTGAGGTCCCAGTTCCCTCTGTAGTAAGGTCCCAGTTCCCTCTGAGGTCCCAGTTCCCTCTGTAGTGAGGTCCCAGTTCCCTCTGAAGTCTCAGTTCCCTCTGTCGTGAAGTCCCAGTTCCCTCTGTAGTGAGGTCCCAGTTCCCTCTGTTGAGGTCCGAGTTCCCTCTGTAGTGAGGTCCCAGTTCCCTCTTTAGTGAGGTCAAAGTTCCCTCTGTCGTGAGGTCCCAGTTCCCTCTGTAGTGAGGTCCCAGTTCCCTCTGTAGTGAGGTCCCATTTCCCTCTGTCGTGAGGTCCCAGTTCCCTCTGTAGTGAGGTCCCAGTTCCCTCTTTAGTGAGGTCAAAGTTCCCTCTGTCGTGAGGTCCCAGTTCCCTCTGTAGTGAGGTCCCAGTTCCCTCTGTAGTGAGGTCCCATTTCGCTCTGTCGTGAGGTCCCAGTTCCCTCTGTAGTGAGGTCCCAGTTCCCTCTGTAGTGAGGTCCCAGTTCCCTCTGTAGTGAGGTCCCAGTTCCCTCTGTAGTGAGGTCCCAGTTCCCTCTGTAGTCAGGTCCCAGTCCCCTCTGTAGTCAGGTCCCAGTTCCCTCTGTAGTCAGGTCCCAGTTCCCTCTGAGGTCCCAGTTCCCTATGTAGTAAGGTCCCAGTTCCCTGTAGTGAGGTCCCAGTTCCTCTCTGCACTTTCCCTCTGCTGAATGTATTTATGATGTTGGTGTTACAATACGATGTATGTTATTGATTTTCCCTTCAATCAATAAACAAATTACTTGGCGTGTGACTCAAGCACAAATCATAAGCAAAGAGAATCGTCTGCAAACATTCGCGGGTCATCGTGCCCGGCGTCCGACCGCTGTCTTTAATAAAGTGAAAGTTTCGTAACGGCTGCCCCTTGACCGTCCGAAACTAAACGGGCAACCCTCACCCCCTGTCCATCTAACGCCCCTTGTAACATGCATCCCCCGCCCATCTAACGCCCCTTGTAACATGCATCCCCGCCCATCTAACGCCCCTTGCAACATGCATCCCCCGCCCATCTAACGCCCCTTGCAACATGCATCCCCCGCCCATCTAACGCCCCTTGCAACATGCATCCCCCGCCCATCTAACGCCCCTTGCAACATGCATTCCCCGCCCATCTAACGCCCCTTGCAACAATCATCCCCCGCCCATCTAACGCCCCTTGCAGCAATCATCCCCCGCCCATCTAACGCCCCTTGCAACATGCATTCCCCGCCCATCTAACGCCCCTTGCAGCAATCATCCCCCGCCCATCTAACGCCCCTTGCAGCAATCATCCCCCGCCCATCTAAAGCCCCTTGCAACATGCATTCCCCGCCCATCTAAAGCCCCTTGCAGCAATCATCCCCCGCCCATCTAAAGCCCCTTGCAACATGCATTCCCCGCCCATCTAAAGCCCCTTGCAACATGCATTCCCCGCCCATCTAAAGCCCCTTGCAACATGCATTCCCCGCCCATCTAACGCGCCTTGCAACATGCATCCCCCGCCCATCTAACGCGCCTTGCAACATGCATCCCCCGCCCATCTAACGCGCCTTGCAACATGCATCCCCCGCCCATCTAAAGCCCCTTGCAGCAATCATCCCCCGCCCATCTAAAGCCCCTTGCAACATGCATTCCCCGCCCATCTAAAGCCCCTTGCAACATGCATTCCCCGCCCATCTAAAGCCCCTTGCAACATGCATTCCCCGCCCATCTAACGCGCCTTGCAACATGCATCCCCCGCCCATCTAACGCGCCTTGCAACATGCATCCCCCGCCCATCTAACGCCCCTTGCAACATGCATCCCCCGCCCATCTAACGCCCCTTGCAATCATCACCCCTGTCCATCTAACGCCCCTTGCAACCCTCACCCCGGCCCATCTAACGCCCCTTACAACATCCACCCCCTGTCCATCTAACGCCCCTTGCAACCCTCACCCCCGCCCATCTAACGCCCCTTACAACATCCACCCCCTGTCCATCTAACGCCCCTTGCAACCCTCACCCCCCGCCCATCTAACGCCCCTTACAACATCCACCCCCTGTCCATCTAACGCCCCTTGCAACCCTCACCCCCCGCCCATCTAACGCCCCTTACAACATCCACCCCCCGCCCATCTAACGCCCCTTGCAACCCTCACCCTCTGCCCACCTAACCCTCACCCCTGTCCACCCAGCGCCCCCAGCGCCCCCCCCCCCCCGGACTTTAGCCCGGCCAGTGCCTGGGTATGATTCACACACTCAAGTTAGGGCCAAAATCACGGGGAAAAAATTTCAGAAGACGTTGCCAAAATCAATTTTTCCTACACGATCTCAGAGATTTGGTGAGTTGGTTCTAGATGTTAGATTTTTCTAGACGGTAATATTTCTTTCTTCCTAAAAACTCGGCAACATTATTAAATACTCATTAATTATACGCTTAAATGATCCTGATAATTAATAAAATCGATACATACATTAGTTATCTTTTCTGACAGGAATAGGTTTATATTTTTAAAAATATTCTAATCTGCTTTTTTTAAATATTTATTTTAACGTTAAAAGATAGGGAACTATACATTCAATGACAGTTGAAGTTTTACACTTTTGAGTTCTTTGATAAAATGTGTGTAAACTACATGCTCTACTTAGGCCTGTTCAGATCAAATAAATATTGAGATCAGAGCAGCAGAAATATTGTGTAGTCAGCTAAATCATTTAGTCAAGGTGATCCTAATCTAGACGTTGTCAAATCACAATGACCACTGGTTAGATAACAATGACCAGAGGTCAGATCAAACTGACCACTGTCCAGATCACAATGACCACTGATCAAATCACAATGACCACTGATCAAATCACAATGACCACTGATCAAATCACAATGACCACTGGTCAGATCATAATTACCACTGGTCAGATCATAATTACCACTGGTCAGATCATAATTACCACTGGTCAGATCATAATTACCACTGGTCAGATCATAATTACCACTGGTCAGATCATAATGACCACTGGTCAGATCACAATGACTACTGGTCAGATCACAATGACCACTGTACAGATCACAATGACCACTGTCCAGATCACAATGACCACTGGTCATATGAGAATGACCACTGGCCAAATGTAAATGACCACTGGCCAGAACACAATGAATGACCACTGGCCAGGTCGCACTGACCACTGGTCTGAGATTGCACTTTGTGTAGCATGTTTGTATTCAGCAGTCAGGCCATAAACAGATCACCCATCCGGTCACAATGCCGCCATTTTGTTTGTTTATGCTACGACTGTCCATAATTGAATCAGACGAGAATATTTCTTGATTAACCCCTCGACTTCTAGATCGCATAAACACAGCACTTTATTTTCTCTGTTTTACTGGGGCAACGTGACCTAGCGGTTTATCGGATGAGGACCCTACTCTGTTGTTTATGTAGGCGGGAGGGGGGTACACACGCAGGCAGGG